CAGGCTGAACAAGCCCAGCTCCCTCAGCCTCTCCTCGTAGTGGAGATGTTCCAGTCCCCTCACCATCCTTGTAGCCCTCCGCTGGACTCTCTCCAGTAGCTCTTCATCCTTCTTGAACTGGGGAGCCCAGAACTGGACACAGTACTCCAGATGAGGCCTCACTAGGGCAGTGTAGAGGGGAAGGAGAACCTCCCTTGTCCTGCTGGCCACACTCTTCTTGATGCACCCCAGGATCCCATTGGCTTTCTTGGCAGCCAGGGCACACTGCTGGCTCATGGTTAACCTGTCGTCCACCAGGACACCCAGGTCCCTCTCCGCAGAGCTGCTCTCCAGCAGGTCCACCCCAAGCCTGTACTGGTGCATGGGGTTGTTCCTCCCCATGGGTTCCAACCCATGGGTTGTTCATCCCACTCTGCATCCCAGCGATCCTCAACCAGAAGGGCTCTAAGGTGGGCAATGCTGCTCGCTCTGCCTCTCCTCCCCAGACCTGACACAAAGCGAGACTTGCTAACAAACAAGACAAGCCCTAAACAGAAGGTCTTGGGAAGCTCCGCGCTCCTTGCGACACAGCCCGGGTCCCAACAGCAGCAGCTGGAAGATGCTGCTGTGGAAGAGCCCAGCACAGCTGCTCCAAACACAGGCAGGAAAACCAGCTCTGTCACGTACTTGAAAAACTAAAGGACAACTGTACGTACTTGCTACTCTGAGAGCACAAGATCTCTGAACACCAGGCCTGTCCACTGCACTCCAGCAAGTGGGTTTTTCTTCCCATCCTGGCAGCAGGACAGGGTTGGCGAGGAGGAAGGGGTTGCATTAAGATGCAAAAGGTTTCACGATGGCTTAGTTGTTAGACAGCCCTGATCTGATCAGCAAGCCACTGTGTTTTCCTCAAGAACAGGCAGGTGGGAAAAACCCAGCCTGTCCCCCAACCTCACAGCTAACCCAGACCAAGAAACACAGCCTCCCCACAGCTAGTCCTGACCAAAAACCAGCCATGGGAACAGCCGTGGAGTTTAGCCTCTGTGGGGTGGTGTGGGAAGATGGACAGATATGGCACTAGAGGTGCTTCATCTTCCTCCTGCCTTGGGCAGGAACTCCCAAGCCCTCCCAATTAACTTCTCAGGGGGCTGGGAGGAGCCCATCAGCTGCATTAATTAATGAGGCAGAGGAACCAGATCTTGAGGAGGAGCCCTATGGAGGTACTTGTTTTAAACACACATCCCCCACCCCCCAATTAGCTGCACAAAGCTCCCACTGTCCATGCAGAAGTAGCTGATGATTCAGGAATCCCAGGTGGGAGAGAACAGAGCTCATCTTTTTCCACAGCCACCAATAAAGGGGGGCAGATGGGCACACCAGCCACCACACAGCACCTGGGGGGCTGCTTGAAAGGCTCGTCCCCAAGGGACTCACCTCTTGCGAAAGGTAGGGCAGAACCTGCGCACAAATCCCATTTAGCCTCTTGACGATTTCAGCCTAGAAGGTGGGAAGAACAGAGAGGAAAGGTATCAGGCAGCTCGGGACTGACCACCCTCAGCACCAGCTGCCCCACCTTCCCCTTCCCCAGGCAGCGCCCAGGTCCCCACACAGCCCTCAGAAAACACACTCCCCTCGGAAAGACACTGGCAGTGTCCCGGTGCCACGGGGGGTCACCTCGCCCCCAAGGCCCCTCCCTACATAGGGACTGCAAAGAGCAAGTTTGCCACCTTCTCTCCCCTCTCCGTGTCTCCCATATTCATTTAACGAGGTCAGGAGCAACCAGAGAGGAAACTCATTGCAGACCCAGGTGGGGATGTGTTGAATCATGTTCGCCGTGCAGACACGGGCCCCTGCTGTGTGCCGGGGGCTGTGCTCAGCCTCCTCGGACCCCCCTCCCCAGAGAAGGGTTTGCCCAGTGCCAGCCTCCCCGCAGCCAAGCTGCGGGACCCAGGCTATGCAGGGAGACCACAGGGACTGGGCAGGTTCCTCACTAGCCCCTGACAAGCAGGTGACAATTTTTGGGGTGTTAAATGCTTTTCTCCTGGAAGAGAGGAAAGGTACCAGCCCTTTGCAGATCACTCTCCAGCGGAGTCAAAAGAAATACAGAGCCAAGCATGCACCAAAACCTGCCAAGGGGGCCCCACCAGCACCACAGGGGAGCGGACTAGGCTGGGGGACAATTCATGGGACAGCAGCGAGGATTTGTGGCTCACATCCTTTACCAAGGTGCAGGTTTTCCCGGTGAAGACAGTCTCATGGGCTTACAAATGAGGGTGATGGGATCGGAGGCCCCAGGTGCCCTTGTGGGGAGCACAGTTGTGCTAAGAGGCTTATAACTGAGCCACAACACACAGATGACTTTCTGACTGGAAGCCAGACAGAGTCAGGCTCAGAGGAGGCTCATGTTGTTAACAGCCCAGGTAATTAGCCACTGGGGGTAATTAACAACTTAACCCCCAGTGAGGGTAATGAACAGACTTATCCAGGCTGCACCAGAGTCTCCATCACAAGGAGGCTCTCTTGGAAGGTCTGCAGTCGCGTTACCCAACCACAGCCCAGGAGTGCTCTCTGGCCTGACTGTAGCAAGAGTCCGGTGTGGCAAAGGCGTTTTCCACGTCGGGGTGACCACGAGCCGTCCTGGGCAGTGGGGCAGGGCCAGGAACCTACCCAGGGCCTGGGAGGGACTCAGGGTTATCTCCCGCTCTGCACCCCAGGCTCAAGCCTGCTGACTGAGCCACAGCTCCACACCCTGTCTGTGCTGCCTTGTCCAGTGCTTAAATACCTGTCCAAGCCCTGGGGAAAACCAGGGTGTGCCCACAGCCCAGCACTGTGATCCTGAGAGGGGTGGGCGGGTGTCCCTGCATTTTGAAGGCAGCTCTGACATTTTACAGGCTCATGGCATTTCTAGTTCCTGAAATACCACTGAGGTGAGGGCAAAGCACAGCAGACAACCCACCCTCCCCAGGAATGAGATCACTTGGAAATGCCTTCCCCCTACCTGTTTGTGCATTTCAATATTCAGCCCGTAGGACATCTCGTAATACTGTAGAGCGGAGGAGAAAAGAACAAAAGAAATTGTAAGTCAAGTCTCCACCAAGTAAAGAGGCTCCATACAGCAGTGCTGAGAACTACTACTGCTTTCCTAGCAAGGTCTTCTACAAAAGCTGGAAGGAGAGAAGAGGCCAGCCCTAGGAAACAAAGACAGCAGGAGGCAGGCACAGACAGAGACCCTCTCCAGGTCTAAGGCAGAAGCACCAAGCCCACACACTCCCTGCCCACCCTGCTACAACCTCTCACTGCTGCAGAGACCAGAGAACCTGCCGACTGGGCCCCATGCAACATCCCTCACAGACACCTTTCAGCAGTCTGCATCAAGGTGAGAGTGACTGATGCTGCTTCAAAACTGGAAAAAGGCTCAGGGCTCCACAGACTTCAGTATCCACAGCCAAAAGAGAGGCAGCCTGACTACAAGCTTTGCCTGGCCCATATCCTAAAGCCCACGTGGCTGCTTCAGCAGCAAATGGAAGAAATCACAAGCAGGCTTCATCTAGCGAGTAACACATCCAGCTGCACACAGCTCCAGCTGTTTGGGAAGAAGCTTGGGGGGTGGGGTGTGCGAAACAAACCCCCACAAAAAAATCCACCCAGAAAACCCCTGCACAGCAGCAACAGGCAGCTACAGAGCAATCTGCTGGCAGGAGAAGCTAATTCCTGATCCCTGGAAGAAGCTGTTTTAAGGCTGATGTTTGAGAATTTAGAAATGTCTTCCCTCAGCTTGCAGGCTGCAGTCCCGATTCTTCCGAAAGGAAAGAAATATCCACATCTGCGCTCCTTTAATCCAAGAAAATGATCACTGGCACTTCGGTACCAACACCACAAATCTGAGAAGCACCCAGCTTGGTATTGCCATGATCTCTGCTCTAACACTGCTGCTGGCTCCCGAGGGTTCTTTGCATTCTGAAGACTGAGCAGGAAGCAGGAACCCGACCCCCAAGCTGCTAATTGTGACTTATTAAAAAATCAGAGCAGCTGTAGCAGCTTTGCACATTCACAGAAACCCTCCTCTGCGCTTCCCGTGAGTTGCTGTGGTGGGGAGCGACAGCAGCTCTGCGCAGCTCCAGCTCAGCCACACAGACGAGGCAGGAGCTGCTGCGCCTGCAAAGCCTCCAGTGCTGCGCAACGAGCAATAACCCTTCCCTTCCGCTGCCGACCCGCTGATGGTAACCTGAATCAATTCTGATGACTGTCAGCATTAAGGGAAAAAAGTATATCTCACCCACACCTGGAGATTAAAGTCTCCATGCAGGCTGCAAGGCCCAGGAGGCAATCACTTCTCAGTGATAACGGGCAGGCAGGCTTCTCCTTTGATATACAAGGCAAGCTGTGACCTCTTCTCCTTGTCCCCAGCCCCAAGCGTGCCTTGCTCCCCACAGCCTCTGCATCTGGAGTACCAGAGGATGGAGGGGCCAGCTCCCTCATTTCCAGTTTTAAAGTCCTAACTCTCCTCTGAAGAGCTGCTGTATTAATTTCTTCATCTTGTCTCTTCCTTCCAGGGCAGGAGCAGCAGCTGGCAAGCAGGCAGCAGCTGGCAAGCAGGCACCAGCCCGTCTTTATGGACAGTATCTCAACCTCTTGTTAACTCCACAGCCTTGCCTGGCATCCCTCCCCTCTGCTACGAGGCCTCTTCCACACGTGGGAAGACAGGCATTACCCGGCAGGCAAACCATCACCCTGCCTATGAGAACATGGCTGTTTCCTGGCGGATTTCTCTTCAGAGAGCCGTGGCTAAGCCTGCTGCCCGCAATGTGCCACCATGTCTCATGCCTTCACCAGGCACTGCCCTGGATTTGCACACTTTGTGCTGGGACACACGCCTCGGTGAGATGTGCTAGCACTTTGCACTGTGGCTGCACAAGGCTGTTGGGGTCCCGAGAATCACACAGAATCACACAGAATAGTAGGGGTTAGAAGGGACCTCTGTGGGTCATCTAGTCCAACCCTCCTGCCCAAGCAGGGTCACCCAGAGCAGGCTGCACAGGACCTTGTCCAGGTGGGGCTGGAATATCTCCAGAGAAGGAGACTCCACAGCCTCCCTGGGCAGCCTGGGCCAGGGCTCCGTCACCCTCAGAGGGAAGAAGTTCTTCCTCATGTTCAGACGGAACTTCCTGTGCCTCAGTTTGTGCCCATTGCCCCTTGTCCTGAAGAAGGTGCAGAGGGTTTAGCTCTCGCACAGCAGCTGGTTTCTGCTTCCAACTGCCCCAGCCTTACGGGGTTTCCCAGCTTCAGGACTTCTCAGAGGACTGCTTTGTCTTTCACTGGCCATGACTCTCCCAGAGTCCCCAGACACCTCCACGCCAGCACCTTGCAGCTCCTTCTCAGGTACATAAGAGCTGTTGCTTCCCCCAGGGCACAGGGAAGCAGGTCAAGCAGCCAGTCAGTGGCAAGGCCAAGGACCCTACCACCACCCACCAAGCAGTCAGCCACTGGGTCCATCAGTTTTCTATGTCCAACAATCCACCTCATGCAGATAACACAAAATACTGAAAAGCCCTGCTTTCAGAGAAGCCAGCGCCAGCTTTGCCTCCACAGGGCGAAGGCTCCCCGCCGGGCAGGACCCAGGCACAGGCACCTGCCCCCCGCTGGACCCCCCCTGCCCTCGGCTGCCGGGGCCGGTCCTTACCATGACGTAGTGACGCTGCATCTCCGATTTCTCACTGGCTAGTTTGTCACATTCCAACTTCAAGCTGAAAAGCCAGAAAACAGTAAGAAAACCACAAACAGGAGGTGAGACTTGATCACCACGGAGCAGCTGCTTCCTGCATGGCCCCATCCCGGCCAGGCTGGTTTCTCAGACACCACCATCCAGGCTCCAAGGGGTGGCTAGAGCTGGGCCACGCAGTGCTGGCACAGCAACAGAGCCTGCTCCCACCTTCCCAGCCGGAGTCCCACCAACACACACTCAGGAGGAGCAGCACAAGGCTATCAACCAGCTGGACACTGACCTCCCCCAGGCAAATCATTTCCGTGGGAAGCAGAAGGCTGGGCAGAAGCAGCAGTGGCTGCCCAGGGAGGTGTTTGCCTTTTCTCAGCTGGGGACGCCTTCTAGCACGGGCCTGTCTGCAGCACTCCAGAGTTGTTCCAATCCAACCCCAAAACTAAAGCCAGATCCATTTCTGGAAGGTGGGGGGGAGGCCCAAGCGCAGCACATCCCTCCAGAGGAAAGGATTTTTTTTCCTCTCCCTTCAGAGAAAGGGCTGCTGCTCCCAGTATTTTATGAGACTCCAACTCACCAGCCAAGCAACCGCAGCCTGCATCTGCCGTGGTTTTATGTTTCAAACAAGAAACAGCTTCACCTACACAAAACCTGCTTCTCCAACACATTAAGTGCGAGGGGGTGGAGCGGGGGGGGGGTTAGCCTCCCTTCCAGGGGGCATGTTTCTTAGGGTCCCCTGCTCCCTCGCTGGCACTGCCCAGAGACACCAGCACACCAAGACAGAGCCGCTTCCCAGCGGTTTTTCTGCCTGCTTCTGCCAGAACGACGCCACTGCAAGGCTGCGACCCGGCCGCCCGGCAGAGCCCAGGGCGGGGAAAGGCAAACAGGGAAGCCGCAGCTGCAAGGCACCGAGGCACAAGGCCACATGCCACAACCGGCACCTTGCAGCCATAGCAGAGGGCATCACCCAGTCGATTTAACCCAAGAGTATCACGTTTATCTCGGACGCACACACACCAAGCAGCAGGCTGTCACAAGCCAGCTTTCGGGTCAGCAGAAGTATTTCCACGTACGTGCACAGAGAAGTGGAAGCTTTTGGATTTAAGTGCTCCCTGCAGCATTCACCGTCCAAGAACAGCAGCCAGCGAGAAGAAAGGAGGAAAACTCCCAGCAAGACACGGGAGGCCTGGCAAGCCTCCGCACGGTCCTGGCCGAGCACCACTCGGAGGAAAGACCTCGGCTGGAGACGGAAGATACAGGTTTTGCTTGCTGGGCTCCCAAGCGGATGCGACTAATCCCCTACCTTGGGTCTCCTCTAGCCAAAGGTGATCCAAGCTACGCAACCGGGTCTGCTCCTCAGCATTTCCATCCCATCCGCGCAGCAACGCAGAAG